GCCAACGCCGCGCCGCCGCCGCCGCTGACGCGCCAGAGCTCGCTGCCCGACGCGCGGAAGGGCCGCGGGTCGGCCGTCGGCGCGGTCCGCGCGAAGCGCCTCGAGCGCCAGAGGGCGCTCGAGGAGGCGCGCCTGCGCACGATCGCGGACCGCGCGAAGCGGCGCAGCGACCTCGGCCGCGCGCGCCACTTTTTGGCCGGCGTCGCGGCCGCGGCCGCGGGCGACCTCTTCCTCGACGCGCTCGTCGGGGGCCGCGAACGACGGCGGCTCGCGGCGGCGCGCCGCGCGGCCCAGATCGTGCTGGCCTGCTGGTACAAGCGCCTGGCGCTGCTGGCCCGCCTCGCGACGACGGCGAAGATCGCGCGCGCGCGGTGTCTGGCGGTGACGATCAACCTGCGCTGCTGGCGGAAGCGGATCGCGCGGAGGCGCGTGCGCACGTTCGTCCGCGAGACGAACTGGTCCTTCCGCATCCGCGCGGCGCGCGTCACGTACCTGCGGCGCGTCCGCGTGCTCCAGAATTTGATCCGCGCGCGGTCCGCGTGCACGGCCGCGCGCCTCGTGGTGCTGCGGCGCCTCTGGGACGACGTCGAGCGCGAGCGCCGCGACGACTTCGCGCGCGACGCCGCCGAGGCCGCGGCGGAGGCGCGGTCGCGGCGCGACGCGTTCCTGAAGACGCTGGAAAGCAGCGACACGGTGGTCTCCGCGGAGACGGCGACGGTGTCGTCGTCGCGCGTCGCCGAGCGCGCGCGGCGCCTCGCGTGGAAGCGGCGCCGCGCGGATCAGGGCAGCAAAAGAGAGCGAAATTCCCAACTTTGGAGGCTCCTATCTCGGCCGTTTTCCACTCGTTTCGGCTGATTTTTGGACGAGCGATCATCTATCGGAACGGTCTCGAAGCCTTGATGCTTTTTCCGGAACGCGCGCGCGCGGAACACTCACGTTGAAGCGACGTTGAATCTCTCCTTTGCTGCCCAGGCGCGGATCTGGCGCTCAAAGCCGCGGAGAAGAAGCGCGCGGCGCACCGGCGGATTGAAGCGAAAAAGGACGACGACCAGTGGGCGAAGATCTCCAAGAAGATGGACGAGCTCAAGGAGCGCGAGGCCTTCGCCGACGCGCTGGGCCGCCACGGGCGGAGCCGGCCGCGGCGCGGCGCGCTCCTGCCCGCGGCGGCGCTCCGGTTCAAGGCGATCCCGTGCCTGCTGCGCGAGCGCGCGGTGCGCGACGTGCTGGCGCAGATCCGCGGCGACCACGGCGACCGCTGGGGCAGCCGGACGTTGCTGCAGCGCTACCGGGGCGCGTCGAAGCGCTACACGACGGCGGAGGCGCGGGGGCTGCTGGACGTCGCCCACGTCCGCGGCCGCGCGAGGCCCCTGCCGCCGACGGACCGCGCGATCCGCGAGTGGCCGCCGCTCGCGTTCTACCTGCCCTGGAACGGCGCGGCGACGCTGCCGCCGAGCACGTGGCGCCGCCACACGCTCCGGGACCTGGTCGTCTTCGCGTACTCGTGCGCGCGCGACGAGGCCTTCGACGACGACGCGACCGCGGTCTCGTCCGTGTCGGGGTTCGCCGCGGCGCGGGAGGAGGAGCTGACGTTCGTGAGTGCGTAATGTTGCTCGAGCGTCCGAGTGGCTGAAATGCATATATCGATGGGGACTTTTGCGGTGCATCTTGAAGATTAGCCACTTGA